TAATGATTTAAATTTACGATATAAATATAAATTATAATTAGATTTACATACTTTAATTAAAATTGTTACTTTTAATTTAGTTTATATAAGTAATTTAATGAAATTAAATATCAAGAAAAAAATTAAATTTATACATATAATTATGTATTTTATATTTCTATCATAAATGTACTTATAATAATATTCGTACATTTTAAAGTTTATAAAATATAAATAATTGAGACAAGAATATAAAATACCAAAATAATAAATAAATATCATGATAATTGTTGTTAAAAATAATTCTCGCAATATTCATGGCCTAATTTAAATAATAAAGATGTGCCACAATGTAAAAAATTAAGATTATTCCCGTAGTGATGAGCGGATCGTTGCAAATGGTTCATGAAATAAATATCTCTTTGAGTCGCAATAGTTTTCTAAAATTTTATTAGTCTTATTTTAACTGTTTAAAAATTGTTACAAAAGTACCATTTAGTGAAATATTCAACCTATGAAGGTCATTCTATCGCCACCATTAGCTCGTAAATAAATTACAATTGGAGCTCTCACAAGCGTTAGGAAGCTATGATAAAGAGGAATTTGTATGCTTTCGGGTATATGTTAGAAACTTTGTGGTTGTAGAGTAATGAATTATCGTCTTAGCATTGCACGAGAATTCAGCACACAGATAAAAGAATAGAAGTATGCAAAAAGAAATACATCGACTTTTTACAGGGAAAACTTTTGAAAAAGGGAAAAACCACAGGGTCTAACTCAGTTGAAATAATCAACTATGAATAATGAGCACACAAGTTCATTCTTCACCTAAATTAGGGAATATTGAATTACAGAGTTGTATAACTATAGTCTGGCTGCAGTTCTTGGTGAGAGTAGGTTGCAAGGGTAATTGTTTATTGTTGTGGTGGTAGTAGTCCGTCGTGAGTGTTGTAGATGATTGCTCCAGAAGCGTTGATTGACCAGAGAATCCGTAGCAAGCAGTTGCGGGAGCTGTGAACCATGTTGGCTGTAGTGGCGAGTATGAATGAAGTCCGTAGGTAGCGGGGGCCGGAGTCGGGAGCTGCACGAACTGTGAACCATGTAGGTCGTAGGGGTGATATGAATGGTGTCCGTAGGCCGTGAGAGGGGGGTCCTGACCGTAGATCACAGTGACCTACGGTCAGGATGCAATCAATTTTTTTTTGAAAAAAAAATATATAAAGTGGGGCCCACCAAAATACATCATGATCGTAGATCACTGTGATCTACAGTCAGGATTGGACACCGCATGCAGAGATGCATGTGGTGTACCGCATGCAGAGATGCATGTGGTGATGTATGCAATAATTTTTCGTGAGGGGGGGGGAGTCAGGAGTTGCACGAGCTGTGAACCAGATATGTCGTAGGGGCGAGTATGAATGACATCCATAAACCATGGAGGGCGGAGTCGGGAGCTGTATGAGCTGTGAACCACATAGGTTGTTGGGGGCGAGTATTAGTGACGTCCGTAGGCCGTGGGGGCCAGAATCAGGAGCTGTATAAACTAATGGCCATGTAATTCGTTGTTGGCACATGTACCGTAGTGAAGAGCTCTTGTCCCACAAACGTGAAATTGTTACTAGATTTTTCAAGTTATAACATTAATTGATTGCGTTTGGTTGGTGGTGGTCGACGTAGGTCGGGAGTAGTTGACGAAGGTTGGCAATGGTCGACAGACGTTTGCGGTAGTCGACGAAGGTCTGCGGTGGTCGACAATGGTCTATGATGGTCGACGGTTGTAGGCGATATTCGACGGAGGTTGACGATGGTCGACTGCGGTCGGCATTGATTGATGTCAGTCGGCGTTGATGTCGATTTGTAGCTCCTCCTCAAGGCCTTAGGCTCTATTTCTAGGCTTCAGCTCTCCCTCATGTAAGGGGCGAAGTATATTTATAGAGTTCTGAGTATAATTAATGCAGAAATATGAACAATTTTGATCGGATGATCCAGAGAGCTTTCTTCATTTGATAGAAATTTGAGTGTCTTAATTATGTTGGAATTAAGTGATCTTGAGCATTTGTTTTGGATTCGTCTTGGCGAGACACTCGATTAGAGTATAGATTTGCTAGTGTCGGCATCCGTTTAATCTTCCAAATGTGTCCCGAAATCTTTCAGAAATGGTTTAATGACTTGATATGGGCTTGATTTGACTTGGAATAGACTGACTTTGATATCATTAGGTCCGCCTCATAGAGCAGGTCAGTTTGACTACAAGTTTGTTGAAATTGAAGCTCTAGATGAGTTTTTAACAAGGTTTAAACATCTCTTGCTCAAAATATTGTCTCGAGATTCATGTCATGCTTTGAGATTTGTGTTAGATAATGAAATTTGTTGGTGCACCTAACAATTCGAATATCACATTCTTAAGGCTAATTGTGTCAACCAACAGTCCGGGGTACGCGCGCACACACACACATATATATATATAAAACAATTAATACTAGTGATATTTTGGTGTAAGCAAAACAACATGGCTCGACATGGCTAAACATTTAGATTTCACTCTGCCTAAATCGACACTTGTTCGCACTTCTAATTCTCTTTCATTCTAATTTGATGGAGTATCATAATCGTACTAATTAATATCTTATGATTTAATCTTCATAATTGTTTAAATTATTTTTAAACTAGCCATTGAGTTAAAACCTTGGCTTGTTATAAATTAAAAATATAATGTACATAGAGCTGCACAAATTAATTTTGGTAATTTTCGATAAAATTTTAATAATTTTATCATCTGTGGATCAGTTTAGATTATTTCAACAATTTGGATAATTTCTATAAAATATGTATTTATTTATGGCTGATTCATCTACATCAATACTATAAACTATATTTTAGCTATGTGAATAACACATTTTAAAAAAAAAAAAGTGTCCAAGGCATTTCTCATTAGTCTATTATTATTAATTTTAAAAAATATTATATAGTGAAGCATAAATATTCGGATTTAGAGAAATCTATTCATATACATTATAGATTTTTATACACCTCAAAGGAATTTTCATCAATAAATTTCTATCAAATGACTTGAATCTCGATGTATGACATGTATGACATAGTTCTCGAAGCAACCATTTGAAAAAGAAATGTTCAAACTTTGATTAAAATTTATCCAATACTTCGACTTTAACAAATTTAAAGTCAAACTGACCGGCTAGACGAGACTGACCCAATGATACCAATATTGATCTAATATGAACCAAATAGAGCCTAAACTAAGTCATTAAATCATGTTTGGAAGTTTTTCGTACACATTTGTGAAGTTAAATGAATAGCAAATCCAAGGAGTTTATAGTCAAATCGAGTGTCTCGGGAAAATGAATCCAACGGGCTCAAGATCGCTCAATTATGTGATCTTTAAGGCACTCAAATGTCTATCAAAAGCCGTCTGATATAGGTGAATCTTTTGAGCCGTCTGATAAAAATGATTTATATTTTTGCATTAATTGCACTCAAAATTCTATAAATAAAGCCACACCTCTCTCAAGAGAGAGGAGGGAGAGCTTGAGGTTTGAGGAAAAGCTTGAAGCTTTGAGGAGCTAAAATCCAACATCACTCTTGCCGCTGTCGACCACCATCGACCACTATCGACCATCATTTGCTAACCGTCGTAGATCATCACTTGTTGACCTTAACCAATCATCATCGTCCACCACCTGTTTTTTGCGACGAGATCGTTCTTACATTGACGTTGTAATTTGAAATATTTAGTGGCACTTTCCTGCTCGTGGGACAAAGAGTCTCTGCAATTATCAACTTGTAAAATATCTCTTCAATTGGGTTAGATCCCGTGGTTTTTCCCTTTACGAGTTTTCCACATAAAAAAAATTTGGTGTCATTCCTAGTTGTTTTCTCTCTTATTTGTGTTGTTGAATCTTCGTATCAAGCTAAGATGATAATATATTACGCTACAATCGTAATTTTTCAAACACACATCAATTTAACGTTGTTTGTGGGAAAGAGCATTCCCATCATTAAGTAATTACAAGACTTGTTGCATGACAATCAGACGCAACACTCGCAACAACAGACCATCCCACTCCAACTCCCATCATTCCAGAAGGAAGTCACGGAGTCAAATGAGTCAGACCTCTACTTCCCCCCACTCTGGAAGGCTTCATTCTACGGATGAAGGTGCCTTGAGAGGAGGGTTTGAGGCTTTAAAGTTTTGAGAAGCAGCTGAAGTCCAACAACACGTCAGTCGCCGACGATCACCCCCACTTACCGCCGACCACCATCTACCGAAAGCCGCTTGTCGACATTGTAACTTAGAAAACCAGGTAATCATTTATCGTCTGTTGAACAAAAGATCTCTGTAATTATTAACTTACATTGAATTTTTACAACTGGGTTATACCTCGTGGTTTTTTTCATTTACGTTTTTTCCACATAAGAACTTCAAGCATCATTATCAGTTATTTTCTTTTACTTGAGTGTGCGCTAAATTCTCGTGCAACACTAAAATGAAAATATATTACTCTATCACCATAAATTTTCGGACACAGATAAACTATTATCACTTTTTAATAGTGTGAAATATATATTTTTTATGTATACATTTTAAACACAAACTGTTATAAGTATATAAATATGTAAATACCTCTCGTGCTAAGCAAGTAAATTTCCATAGATTTTTTGGTTACGTATGAAATATAATTGTTGAAGTAAAAGGAAATTAGTAGAACCGAATATTAGCCACTGAATTATTTACTTGATTAAAAAGAGCATTATTGCACATATAATTGAATCACATCAATTTCTGCAGAAAGAATAATAATCGCGCGTCCCACATCAACGCTCACGTGATTTTATGGAGCCGTCGAAGGCATGTGACTCTAGATCCGCTGAGCGGTGCATCACTTCAAACAGCCATTTATCACCCGGTGCATCGAATTTCAAGGAAATTCAGGGAATCGCGTTTCACAGTTCCCCGAGGGCCTGCGCTAGGGTTTATGTCGAGGCCTATAAATAGAACCGACGACTAGCTTACGTTCACCAGTGATTGAGAGGCTTCCAACATTTGTGGTTGTGGTTACGTTTCCTCTGCTATTTATAGCTGCCTGTCTTGCACGGTGATTCGAACGTTGGCGTTGCTTCGGTTTCGTCGCTGGTCCTTTGTTGGATTTCCATTGAAGGTTTCGTGAATAATTTTGGGATCTAGGGTTTCCGGTTCTTCAACAAGGAATTAACATTTTTTTGGGGAACTTCTGTAAGTGTTTCTTCAATTTTCCTGTTTGGGACCTCTTTCTCTGAACAAAATTTTGGGGATTCTTTTAGTTTTTTTTCTTCCATGTTAGGGTTTTATTTCGTTGGTCTGATAATAGGGTTTTTATATGGTGCGTGTTGTTGTCGTTTTGATTCAGGCATCGATCTGTGTTGTTGCTGAGAGGTGATCTATTCTTTCTTGGTTTATGTTAATTTTCTCGGAAGATGATAAACTATTGCTTTCATTCTCTGTTATAATTTATTTGCGGATTTGTACGAGATTTGATTTTTGATTTCTAGGTGAACTCACCTGTCTGAATTTATCCTGGTCATGTTGTGAGATTGAAGGTTTGATCTTGTTTTTTTTTTTTAAATGTGGTTATCAGTCGAATTTTTTTGCTTTCAGTTTATCTTGTTCATTTTCTCGGAAGAATGACGGGTTGATTTTCGTTTAATTTTGACACTTTCTTTGAATCTTCGTTCTTTGATGATATGCGTCGGCTACTTTAATCTCCCCGAATGTTTCCCTTTGCGGTTCTTAATCTATGAATTGTTGATTTGTTTAAATTACCCTTTGGAAAAGGAGATATATTAGGCATTGTTTTAGTTGCTTTGAAAAAGAAAAATATTCTAGGCATGCCGTTGAACTTTTGTTATTCTAATTTAATTATCTGCATCTGTAAGAGGGTTCATGTGTCGAGCACAACATGGCTGATATTCTAAAAAAATATGGTATAGATTTATCGGAGAACAATGATTCGGAAAACCTAACCCCAGATCGGAAAAAAGCTAATGTTGATGATTATTGTTTTAGGGATATTTTTTAATTAGAATCATTTCAATCTCCTTCTAGTATGATTGCGCTATTTTCTTTAATTCCTATTTTTATCTGATTTTTAACATGTTAGCAAGAATAGTTTCTATCCAGATGCCCGTTCTTTTGCTTTTTCAGTCAGATTCTGTTGTTTCGCTATTTTGCAATTTTTGACGTTGTGTTTGACTTGAAGTTGCATTTTATTGACGAAATGAAGATTTTCAATTGCCATTTATTCTAAACTTTGTTGAACCAGGTGTATGGGACTGAGGATATTGATATGATTGTTTTTTTTAGGTGATTTTCAAGTGTCTAGGAAACTAGTTGAATGATTTGATTATGCATTTCGATGTTGCAGGACGTGTGAATGATTTAATGGAGTCAAAGGGTGGTAAGAAGAAGTCCAGTAGTAATTCCTTACAATACGAAGCTCCACTCGGCTACAGCATTGAAGACGTTCGTCCTCACGGCGGAGTGAAGAAGTTCCAATCTGCTGCTTACTCAAACGTAAGAAACTCAGAAATTTCTAATTTTCAGTTTCTTTTCAGTTTTTGTTTCTACATTTATTCTAAGCTTTTTCCAATTTTTTTTTGGCTTTTCTTTCAGTGCGCTCGGAAACCATCCTGATAGCAATTGGTTGTTCGCTTGAGTAGTGTAGGATTTCCCTTGCTTTGCTTTTGATTCTTCTGGTTTGCAGCTCACCAATAACCTGAACCATACTCTTTCAACCTCTCCTCTGATCTCCTGCTCTCTCCTCTTTCATCCTCTGCTTCTACATCAAGGCAGGCATGATGGCCTGCTCCCCAATTGGGTTCGAGGGCTATGAGAAACGTCTTGAGATAACCTTCTTGGAAGCCCCTTTGTTTGTTGATCCTCACGGGCTTGGCCTTCGCGCCCTCACTCGCCCTCAGATTGACTCCATCTTGGAGCCTGCAAAGTGCACCATTGTTTCACAGCTTTCCAACAAGGACTTTGACTCTTATGTTCTGTCTGAATCTAGCCTATTTGTGTACCCATGCAAGATAATTCTAAAAACCTGTGGGACTACAAGGCTCCTTCTTTCAATTCCTGTGATTCTCGATCTTGCTGCTGAGCTTTCGCTCTCTGTTGCAGCAGTAAAGTACTCAAGAGGAAGCTTCATATTTCCTGGCGCCCAGCCTGCTCCTCACCGCAGCTTCTCTGAGGAGGTTGCTGTTCTTAACAAGTTCTTTGGCTGCCTTGCTTCTGGCGGGAATGCATATGTTATTGGCAACCCTCAAGTGCCTAACCACAACTGGCATGTCTATTATGCCACTGAGAAGCCTGAGCAGCCAATGGTGACCCTTGAAGCTTGCATGACTGGATTGAACAGCGAGAAGGCTGCCATTTTCTTCAAGAATTCTGCTCTTGGAAATGTCTCCTCTGCCAAGCAGATGACTGAAAGCTCTGGGATTTGTGATATCATTCCTGAAATGCAAATTTGTGATTTTGAATTTGACCCCTGCGGGTACTCGATGAATGGCATCAACAGAAAAGCCTTTTCTACCATCCATGTTACACCTGAGGATGGGTTTAGCTATGCAAGCTATGAAGCCATGGGGTTTGAACCAAGCACAATCAGCTATAAAAATCTCATTAAAAGGGTGCTTAGGTGCTTTGAACCTGTGAATTTCTCTGTGGCCGTCACCATCTTTGGTGGACGACCCTTTGCCCGTTCTTACGGCCAAAAGGTTTATGTTGATGGGTACAACTGCAAGGATATTGTGCAACAGGAGCTCCCAGGAGGAGGACTTCTCCTGTATCAGAGTTTTGAGCTTTCGACTGATGGTGCAGTTTCTCCGAGATCCATCCTCCACTGCTGGGAGGCCGAGGGTGAGGAGGAGAAGAGTCTGAAGAACAAGGAGATGTTGTTCTGAGTTTATGGTGGTGTTGGTGCTAGACTATATTGGTGTTTCTGTTTTGTTTTTAGTAATTGGAAACTGTCTTCCAAAGTGTCTTCTACTGTTGTGTTGTGTGTGCCTTTGCACTGTCTTTTTTATTAATATTTGCATTTGAATAATTAGCTCAGTGTGGCAATGGGCTTGTCCTATTTGCCTTCATTGAGCAGAGTTGCTCTTTGCTTATTAATGATATCTTTGTTACATGTTCGTTCTTTATTTAATGAATTTGTTCAACTTAGTGGTAGATTGCTTGTTAGTTGTTCTTGGAAACATATGTTCGCACAGGTGTATTTTTGGATTTGATGAGAAATTATGAGGTGTATCTTTTTTTTTTCCCTCTTTTTTGTTTTTTTTTTCTTTATTGGCAGGACAAGCATTTGAACCTGGCATTCTGAGACACTTCACTTTGTTTTCAACTAATGCTCTATGTGTTGGAGCACTATTAGCAAATCTTTCACCACAAATACAGGCAAACTCTTAATTACTCCTATGGCAAATCAAAGAGGTACCAAAACATTGAAGTTCGCTTTAAAATATAAAAATTTGATTTGTAGAATTGTATTGGTGAGCTACTCTTTGATTTGATTTTGTTTTTGTTCTGCAATTTAACCTTTTGCAATAACGAGCTAATACTAAAACTTTATCCCTGTGTAGCCTTTCATTTCTCTCACAAGCCTATAAACCAATGTGAAGGTAAAGATGTTAGATTTTTAATGATAGGGGTCCTCCACATAGGCAAAACAAAGCTTTTATCCCACTAACTTGGGTTGGCTACATGATTTCTTCATTGCATATTTTCATTTAATATTAATAGATTAAAATTATTTTTTTTATACAATATATTCAAATCTTTTCAGGTTTACCTCTACCTTTTTTAACATAGGTCGAATTTAAAACATATACTCTTTTAATCAGATCATCATATGGTCAACATTTAATGAGACTAAACCATCTAAGATGACTCTCTTTAATCTCTTCTGCCGCTGGATCTACACCAACCCTATCATGGAAAAATAAATTTCGCATTTTATCTCCAAGTGTCAACCCACTCATCCACCTAAGCATTCTCATCTCAACAACACTCAATTTTGTTCTATGCTTCTTTTTTATCACGTATTTTTTATTTTATCTCTATGTGTCAACCCACTTATCCTCCTAAGCATTCTCATCTCAGCAACATTTAACTTTGTTTTATGCTTCTTTTTAAAGCCCAACATTCTGTACCATAGAGAACTATAGGTCTCGCCACCATCTTATAAAATCTTCCTTCAAAGTCTAAACTGTACTTTCTTATCACACAATAGGCATGATATATTCCTCAATTTCAACCAACCAACTTGAATTCTACTAAAAACATCCCCATCTATATCACCATCATTTTGAACAATAGACCCTTTTGAACAAATATCACCATCATTTTGAACAATAGACCCGAGATATCTAAAATGTTCATGCTTTTTAATGATTTAATCATGCATAATTACAACTCTGTCACTAGAGCTATTACGATTAAAATTACATTCCATGTATTCAGTTTTAGATCTACCCAAACGAAAGCCTTTAAACTCCAGTTTAAGCCTCCTTAATTCAATTTTATCCCGAACTCTCTCTCTCTCTCGTCTTATCCATAAGAAAGATATCATTAGCAAAAATCATACAACACGGTACATCCTCCTGTAAATGTTCAGTAAGAGCATTCATAACTAAAGCAAAATGATACTGGCTTAAAGCCGGGCCTTTGTGTAATCTAACTGAAATAGTAAAATACTTGGTCAATCATCTTTATGTCCGAACACAAGTAATAGCTCTAGTCCATTGAAATAGGGATCCTCCACATCCACACATTATATTCCGGTTGAAGACTATAAATTAGCAAGAAATTATCTCCAAAGAATAAACATTTCCTAACCAGTTCGTGTGAGAATATGTAAAGATAATGAAAATAAACTTGATTTTAGGGACAAAATAAATTAAGTTTATGAGTAATTCAAGCAATGGATTAAGAATTAAAGGAGAGAAATAGATGCGTTAAAGTAGTTGAAAGAAAGAGATGGAGAGTGGTTTTATTAGGTTTTAAGGATTATTGGAGTGAAAGTATGGTTTAGAATTGGTGAAACTACAAAAAAAGAAGAAAAGTTTTAACTTTTTCAGGGTTTCTAAACAGATTCTTGGTTGAAAGTTTTTGGCAATGGAAGATTGGATTTTTTTTTATATATATGAAAGGTTGGAAATGTTATTTAACTAATAGTGGTGATCTTATTTCAATAGGTTGTGTGATTATTAAGTTATGAATTCCTTTTTGAATTGGGCACTAGGGGACAGCTGAGTTAAGTTTTTGGGGAATGTGCTTGTCTTCGCTTTTGTGATGGTTGAAGTGATTTTTATGGTTTTGAGAGAGTGGTTTGGATTTTGGAGAACAAGAAATAAGAGATAAAATGATATTTAGATTTCATAAATCATAACTACAGTTGATTTGCAAATCAATCCAAAAGCTGGCAGCACCAACTTTTTGTATACACAAGTTTTTGAAGAGATTAAAGCTAATTTTTATTGAATTAAGGAGAATAAATAATATGTTTAAGGGTTAATGGAAAATGAGAAAAAGTTCTTTAGGAATATTTATGAGTTAATTTTCATGAGGGTTGAAGCTTTTTAAAGGCCTTAGAAAGGTGGCAAAGATATAGAAGATTAAGAAATAAGAGAGAAAAAGATAGTGGGATACATAAATTGTATGTGTGGTTGAAAAGTAAGTGATGAACCTTATAGCTTGCTTTGGATGAGAGAGAGAGATTTGAGAATATCATAATCAGTGAAAACATAAATTAATTAAAGAGGTGAAAAGTATTTTGATGAAAAAGCTAAAGCTTTTGGAAGATATATTTTACAAAATTATGATTATATTGTGTAGAGGAATTTGAAGAAGTGTTGGGTGATGAAAGTCTCTTCAATAGTGAACTTTGAGTGGGAGATTAATTTTATAATGAATTTGTTATGAAATTTTTTGGGAAAGATTGTAGATTGTGTTTTAGATTTTGATTGTAGCGCCTGTTAAATAAATTTATTGCATAATATACTAAAGCTGTTTGGACAAGAACAATAATAGAATATGCATAAATATGATAAATAGATAATTAATGTGGAGGGATTTAGTATGTATTGATAATCACATTAATTGAAATTGTATAAATAGAATTATGAAAATAAGTATCATATGCTATGCTCGATTATACAAGAATGAAAGTCAAATAAAGATTGTTAAAATTCACTTTGGCAATTTTCATATAAATAAATGTGTTGGCAAAAATAAAACCTGGAGTTAACCTTAGAAGTTATATTTTGATGACCTCAAATATTTGGGCCAAGGATAACGATGATGATTGTCAAATCTAATTTTGTCTGGAAAATAAGTTGTTGAAGACGGAAATAAAGCCTAGAGTTGATGTCAGAACAAGCATCGTTTTGACCTCAAATATTTACGCCAAAGACAATGATGTTGATTTTTTAATCTAACTTTGTTTGTAGAAAATAAATAAACCTTATATATAAGAAAGGCTAGGTAATGAAAGAATAAGGAGAGGGACGGAAGGAGAATTTGGAGAGAAGTTTTATGATTTTCAAAATGTACATAACTTAATAATTTTGTGATCTGGGCTTCTTTGACTCTTATTTATAGTTGGGTGTAGAAGTATGAATTTGTGGGAAATGTTACATTTAAGGAACATGAATGAATTGCATAAAATGGTCGCACATTATGGCTTCATCTGCTTTGGTTGAGTTCTGGCAAGCTGCTATGTTGGAAGCTTTGGATGAAATTGCCTAGTCGGATTTCAGGGCCAATAACATGGGTGTTTTGATTTGTTGATTATGTTCTGCTTTGCATAATCAACTCTTTAAACATAGGATGAGCTCGTACCTTTTCTTGTCAACAGAATCATTGTATTGATGAACACTGTTTTGGTCATCCTTAAGGTTAATGATGCTAATCATTGATGACTTTAGCCTGATAGACTCATGTCGATTCTTCTTAGTTAGCCGAGTTGCTTTCGAGATTTTAGGTGCATAACGATGATGATGATACTGATGAAATAAGGAATGATATTTTGCAATAGGACTCTAAAACCTGTAACTTTAGAATAACCATTGCTCTATAGTACTTTTAATATGTGGGCTTGAACTATAGATTGTACTTTAAGTGCACTCTTATTTTGCTACTTCAGCTTTTCACAGTCCTTGGTGCTGTATAAATGATGCAAATTTAATCAAAAAAATTCCAACATAAAGAAGTTAAGAAACATGACATGGGCACATTGTAGCCTTATATTGCAATACAATGTCTTTCGAAATTTATACCTTAAATGTTTTCCAAAATGCATTACAAATATATATTAATACAAAAATTAAATTTATTTAACTTTCAACTGATTATCTAAAAATTTTAACACTAGCCAAACAAAACTAACTAATCCAATGATGTTGTATTTATTTACATTGCATTCAAAATATTCACAACCAAACAACTCCTAAATCAACCTCTTCGCAATAAAAAGGTACATCCTCTTATATTAATTTTTTCTTTCTCCTTGTATTAACCACAGTCTCATGCACCCAGTACACCCCCATGTATCCATGCCCCTTAGAAATGAAAGCCTCTAGTTTAATTTTTGTGGTGATGTGATAAGAGTGAAGGCATTGCCTTTGTACCATGCTTGGATTAAATATTCCCTTTTGTAGAGATGATTTATGATGTTTTTCAATAAAAGAAGCCCATTAAACCATGCATTGAACACATCTGATTAACATGTCAATTGAGCTTATTGCATCTAATAATTTTGATTTTCGAGGCATAGATTAGGCTAAAATGCTAATTTGGTTGCATGAAAACTCATGTACCTTCATTAAATGTTGTATGCAAAAGAGGACAAGAGATAAACTGTCTAAAATGCTATTAGGAAGGCTTTGATCAAGTAGATATGACACCTCGCTTAGGTTGCTTGTTGTCGAATAGAAAGAACGTGATAAAAATACTATGTTGATGGCATCACTTGTAAAATACCTCAAAAACCTAGTACTACTGATATTTACTAGGTTTTTGAGGTATTTTACAAGTGATGTCATCATCATAGTAAAAATTGATCGTAAAAAAATGTAAATATAAAAAACTATCAAGGTTAACTTGTTTATCGAATGAAAACAATCATTAGCAATCTATATAATTTTTTTTGTTAATTTTGAAAACTATATTAT